GAGCGGCGGGATGGGAGACGCCGCTGCCCGTGGGGTCCCGCGAGTACGGCGCTTTGAAATCGCGTTTTCTTAGCATGCTCGTGCAGAGGTTGAAAGCGACGCGGCAAGTGTCACTGGTCATTGACTGCCACCTTTGCCAGTTGCCATTCCCAAGTGCTTTTCACCTGTCTGATGTAGCAGAGTGGAAAGGGAGGCAATTCTGCCTCCCCTGCCTCCTTTCCGGCTGTGGGAATGTTAACTTAAGGATTTTTCTAATGATGCTGGAGTGATCTTAGGTGTTTTTGCTAAACAGAGATGCAGTCTGGAAAACGAAGAAAATAGCTGTATAACCAGACTGGGGCGCATATGCTGTTGTTTAACAAGCAATCTCGTTATAAGAAGAAAGAGCCATTTCCAGAAAGTATGGAATATTTACATAAATCGTGCCCCATGCACCCTTATCTAGCACCTAAAGCTTTTGTGGCTGTGCTCCTAGTTTGATATATCGACTCAGCTATCTTGTCCCCTTAGCCTCTTGTGAATGATGTTACTAAAAATTGTACAAATGGCTTGCCTTGTTTAATAATATTTCTCTTCAACCAGACCGAGACTCGTTTGCGGAGCCCTTTCTAGGCAAGCAGCTCTGAGGACTTGGAGGCTTTTAAGTCTCTTAAGTGGATTTGATGCTGGGATCAGAATTAATCTGCGATATTTATGGCAGAGTTGTATCGCTTTGAGGCATAGCCTGCAGGGCTTAGCAGGGAAGCTGGGAAGCCATCTCTGCGAGTCTGGTTGCAGCTGCCCTCTTTGGCCCACGTGCATGTTGCTTGTCCCCAGGGAGATGGCTCCTGCTCTCTTTGGGTGTTTGCAAGCCCCCTTCCTCTGAGGAATTCTGTTCACCTATCTCCAAGGAGTTCTCCTTTTTCCTTTCCCTTTTAGGGAGCAAGCTTGTTCCCTTCTCCAGGAGACTTGGTGTTACTGGGTGCCTGGATCTCGCTTCTTCCCCAGTTGCGCAGGATGGCGAAAAAACCCAGCCACAGAAACTGTTTACTCTGGCTAGCTGGAAAAGGTGGAGGAAATCTGCCTTAGAGAATAGGGAGCACCCTTGTTTTAAAGACTCTTCCCTAGTCCTGCAGCCATCCTGGTTTTCTGAAAACCTGCAGCCTGCAGGGTCTGGGTCTCTGTTGTTCCACATTCACAGAGGAGTAGTCTCAGCACTCCCAGAATTAAACATCACGTGCCCCTTGCATGTGTTTGGGTGGAGGATAAGGGTCCCTTGTTTGCTGACACTGTAACAATTTGGTATCTAGTATGAGTAATGCTTGCTCTGGGTACCTGCTGGTTGGAGAAAGCGTATGGTGGATGTCCTCCTGGTTCCCTCCAACCCCCAGTGCGCAGCTCTCTTGCCTCTGTCCCCTTCCAGAGGCAGCAGAATTGCTTCGTGCCTGAGTATCAGCCTGAGTGTCTTTCTTACCCATCAATACTTCAAAGCTAAGATGATTTAGAACCCTTTTTAAAGGAAACTGGAATTCTCTTCATTATATACTTACAGAAATCAGTACTTTTGGAAGTCATCTAAACTGCTTGCACCTTGATAGTTCAATAGCTTTTTCTAAACAGTGTGGACGTCTCTCTCCACAGCATTCGACCTGTGTAAAGTAGATGTGGATCACAGACAGTAGTGATAAAACAGCTGTTTCATACTAGCAGGTGGTGGTTGAGTTAAATTGGATAACTTCTGTGATATAAAAGAAAGCATGGAAATGGTGTACAAGAGACTATACTTGCATTTAGTTATTATACTTCATTAGTGACATTTGCAACAAAAAACCCACCCTGCATAAGTCCTGAAATGTCTCAGTTCCCACAATGGGATGAATGTACAGCTGAAGCTTGTTTAAACAGTTTGGAAAAGTTGGCACATCTGTAGAAAGTCTTCAGCTTCATCTCTCTTGAAAGAGCTGTTGAGCCCAGGAATAGACTTCTGGAAGAAGAAAAAAAATTCCTGAAAGGTAAAAATACTGTTTTGGGTCCTTTCAAAAAAGGACCAGAGTAGAAGTAATGTTTGTCTTTTATGTAGATTGCTGGTTTGGGGAGAGAAGAGCAAAGGCAAGGATTACCAGGTGCGGAGGTGTTCATTGCCTTGCAAGGAAGGGAGTATACAGAAAAGGTTTGGGTGCTGTTTCACTTAATTTTGTAGTAACTTGCTTACTGTGAATCAGCCTTAAAATCAACAAGTAGAGTTGTGGATGATTAGTTGATGGCAAAGCTTTCTGTTAGAAGTAATGAGTTGGCATGTTAAAGATAACAAAGGTATTTAACTAGCTGCAGAAGCCTAATTTCCAGTTGATACATTTTGTTTAATGGTTGAGAAAACAGCAAAAACTTCAAAAAAATTGTTAGCTCAAACTTAGATCCTCAGTCTAAGGAAGGCATGTTTAATACATCCATTTTGGTTATGTGTCTTTTAGTGTAAATATGTAGAAACAAACTTACTGGATTTTCTCAAGTATAAGTACAGCAGTTATTCCAGCCTTGAAAATTCAACACTGGTATGTAACTAGCTTAGGTTTTGTACTTAACCTAATCAAGTAAAAACTCTCTCTCTCAGTGAGAGTTTGGGGAGGAGGTAGGTACAGAAGGAATTGCCTGCTAAGAAGAAACCACCTTAGAAGGCTGTTATTTATAATTTAGTGTAAACTGTGCACCTGGCTTGATGGTTTTTGCTTTATTTTTAAATGAATCTTGGGCTGCCTTTATCCTATGGAGGGGAAGGGGGGAAATAGTCACAGGTTAGAGCTTTAAGAATCCCTCACTGTATTTAGAAGGTAGCTTTAGTCTCAACAGAGGTGTATGCAGTGCAATCTAGTAAATGGAAATTGTCCCTATGGTGCTAGTTGCAATTGAAAGCTGCTTTGTGACCTATGTAAAATGAGTTTGTGGCTTTGCATGTTGCTGTTGGCACTGAGTGCTATCCTTGCTCACGGTCTCTGCAGGAAGCCAAAGATTGCATTTGTGTAGAGACTAGCCTGACTTTTTGCCTCCAGGGATGTTCTTTACTGAGACAGACTGGCATGATGCAAATCATATTTCATTGCCTGTGCTGCACTTTAACAGAAGCTCATTTTTGTTTGCTTTGGTGAAAGTAGGGGTATCCAACTTCTATAAAAGTATGTGCATATTTGGATTGGGCTTTGCTTTCTCTGCCTCTTGACGGCAAGTGTGTAGATAAAGTGCTTTTGCTAGGCACTCTATCTCAATCAGCTGAGTAGGAAAGTGTGATTCTAGACTGACAGTCTTGCTGGAAGAAGCCTCTAACAGAAGTGCAGTTAAAACTAAAAGTTGCACCTCTGTCTATTTAGTTTATTCTGCTTGCGAAGAATATCTCCCTTCACCAGTGCAAGTGTAGTTTTTGTCCAAAATGAGCACTTTACTACCGTGGTATGTTCATTATTCTGTAAGCCCTATAGTAGTTAGGGACATGATTCTGAGGCTGGGCAGAATGCAAACTTGCGTCTTAAAGTAACTTAAAACGCTCAGCTCATTTTGTTTTTAATACTTAACTGGAAAGGGATGATTACTAACCTGTGTGCATAAGAACTTCTCACTGAAGGGACTGAGGGAGTGCTTTTGCTTTTGAAGCATGTGTTTCAACATCATTAGTGTGATTTGCACATCAGC